AAAATAACGTATTAGAAATGCTTCCTTCATAAGTTGGAGGAATTTTTTTTATTTTGTAAATCACACATGAAATTTTTTTAAGGAAAATATGATACCTGTTGTTGTTGATGCATGTATGGGCTAGAGTGTAGAACAGAAAGGAACTCGCTGACAGCTCCAACCCACCTGCCAGTACACAAACAATCTGTATAATAGAGATGCAAATAACAACTATTTGACAGGTTTCTTCTCACAGTCTCACCCAGTTCATCTATCTATTATGCCATTTTAGTTAGTATACAATGTGATGCGGTATAAAAGGTGTTTTCCTGTTGCAGGTTCTAAATTTTGTATGTATGCATGGTCCAGCATTGCCCTAAATCCCCAAACTTGAAACTTTGTTCATAACTTCATCTAAACTTTTATCTCCTGAATGCATTGAATGTACCAACAAATTGGTGGAATTTGATAAACAACATTCAGAACTTTCTTTTCCTTTACTTTTTCTAATGAGAAAATGAAGAAGGAAAGCTTTCTGACACAAACATTGTCTTGTCATTTGTAGCTTTCCTGTTGTTGAACTTCGATATTTTACATAAAGGTAGAAAGATTCATATGAAAAACAGAAACATATAAAAGATAGATAAATTCATATGAAGAATAGACACATATTGCATAAAGATGGAAATGATTATATTAAAGGTAGAAGGAAAAATATGAAAACTAATAGAGTGGTTCAAAAAAAAAAAAGATGGATGTAAATGGAGTTGGATGAAAACTTTAAGAGGGCAGTGAGGTATTTTAAGCTTGGGTGGTCAAAGCGGGGGAAATCACATATTGGAAAATTTCTAGGAGGGTGGCGGCATTTTTTCCTTAAGCTTCTGCGATCAAAGCAAATATTTAGACATTTCCCCATTGCTCAGAAAATAATAAGATTTGCTATAAGAGTTTGTGTTACCCATCTTTGTGGCATAATATTTTATAACAAAAGTTATGATGTCATAACAGATAAGGACGACCGAGGTATAATGGCTGGAGAAGGCAAGATGGACATTGACGTACCATAAACTGCGTGCAGTAAGCCCTTCGAAAAATGCAAGATGGCCTCCATGCGGTACGGTTGCCAAAACAATATTCTTGTTCACCCTAAGGAAAAAGGGCAATATGGTAAACTAAATAGCTGTAGAAGAAAACATCATTTGGAAATGGCTAATTAGCACTTAAATACCTTTGGTTCCCTACTTTGCACTCGTATGATCCACTTGTTTTTTGATAGCACTTACATATCTGGGGACTAGCTTCTCTGACGAAGAAGTGGTGGTGCAATCCGACGTTCATCTCACTGGAACGACCGTTGAAACTCTGATTATCGAGTTTGATCAAGCCAAGTACGAGGAGGCCATCTCCTCCGGATCCCTTAGCCCCAAGGCTATGCGTAAGATCCACACAGTTTTCGAGGAGACTAAACCTCCAGTTATAGCCAAATCATCTAAAGACTATCTCCCATGGGGGTTGCACTGTTCATACAGCCCCTCCCTAAAGGAGAAGGCTCGACTTCGGCACAACTCCAAAGCCGATCCTCCAATCAACGCGAACTCTCCAACCAAAACAAAAAAATAAAAAAAACACCTCCAACACCCCTGGAGAAAATTCTCACGTGACAGTGACCTGCTGATTTTATAACTTTTGACACTTTTCTGTTATATTCACTAATAACCTATGTTAATTGTATTTTTCAACTTACCCCAATTCTATTTTAAATAATTGGGATAGCTTTGGCAGTAAAGTTTACAAAAAGAAAGGGTCAAAAATATCTAAAACTAGCATGTATATCTCACATGGGAATTTTTGGAGGAATATTCTCACGTTTACATACAGCAAAGTATCAAAGTGCAGATTTAAAAACTTCAAGGTATATAAATGCCATCAAACACAAGTGACGGTATATAAGAGCAAAGCAGGGGAAACTAACAAGGTATGTCTGTGCTAATTTGCCTTTAAACAAGGAAACAAGGGAACAGCTATACTTGCACTCATCCCAAGGAATCGCCTCTCTTGTACAAACTGGATCATCCAAAGCACTAATGCAGAGGAGAGGAATAGATACACCCTTCAAATAATTAGCAGAAGTGGCGAAGCGATAATATGCATCCGCAGTCTGAGCAAAAAATAAATGTTACTTAGTTGGGAGCAATTAAGAAGGATATGATAATGGTTAATTTAACGGAGGAGATGACCCATAATAAAACGGAATGAGAGAATAGGACAAAGAGAGAGAGAGATGCACACACACACACCTGCACCCACACACACACCCACCCACAGGCGCGCGCACACACATATATATACATAGAGACGTAGAGAGAGAAAGAGATGAGAGTTAGTATATACCTCGAACTTTCCAATAATACAAGTGGCATGGTTATCAAATTCCCTAACGGAGCGTGACTGCGAAGGCCACAAAAAGAAAAGGTAGAACAACCGTAAGAAGAGCATTGGAAAGAAATACAGCCTTGCTAGGTCAAAAAAAGAAAAGTGATTGTGCGCCACGTTTTTATGAATTTCTGTGATGAAGCCATAGTCACAAATATAATAGAAACCAACTAGCAAGAAAGGCCATGTTTGGATTTGAAATTGAGTTTTCTTATTTTTGTTTTCAATATTTAAGTACTCTGAAATATCAAAATTATGTTTGATGATCACTCAAAGTTTAGAAAGTTGCAGCATCTAACCTCAAAATTTAAGCATAGTACAGCCCATAATACTCCAGCATGTTCTTTTCCTAAATATCCTTCTTCTCCTCATATGTAAGTGTTTATGTCAGGTACCACTTGCTTTTTTTAACATAATATATCTAAAGCGTTTTTTCAACATTAAACCCATCCAGCAGCGCGCACACTACTTTCCACACACGCACACACTCCTTTCCACACACACATGCTACTTCCCATGTGAAAAAGGATGCACCAAATACTTCCTCACATAGAAAGCAAGAAATAAATGGTTGTCGCGAACTGAAACCTCTCTACTTCTAGCACTTTGAACATCAAGCCAGTAGCACTTGTCCCCAAAACCCAAGGCCAGAAACTGACAAACTGGTAGGCAAACAATTAATCAAAGCACTTCATCACCCATTAGTGCCAGTAATGCAATATCTTAGACTTGGCATTCTCGGATATGTTCATAAGTGTAAACTAAGTAAAAATGGACTCATGAAATGTAAATTAAGTAAAAATGGCCTCGTGAAATTATAATGAAAGCATGCCTCCGCAAGGGTAACTATTTGGTGATCCAACAATATGTTTTCATAATTAAAGCCATTTATTAAATGAAGCAACCAACATCCAAAAGCTCCTAAAAGAAAACAGAAAAGAAAAGGAAGCATACACTAAGGATACCATCCCAGTTTCCAAGCCGACTATAAACAGCCTGATGCCTGCAACAAGAGGAAAATAAAATAAAAAATAGGGTACATACTTATCATTTAAAACAAATAATGCTAATAATGGTAATTTCTTTAAAAGAAAATTCAGTGGTTTTGTAAATTTCTTAATAGAGTTCACAACAACTTCTTCACCAGGTGTAAGATTAATAGGAACATACAGTTGAGCGTAACCTTTAAGCCCGGTAGCAAGAGTTCTGTTATACAACCTCTGGATAAACTTGCGATTAATAAACCTGTCGCAGACCTAAACATGTGCATGAAAGATTAATATATATTCAGAATAATTTTTTTGATTTTTTAAGGCAAGATATTTAAGTCTTTAGCATGTAAGTTTTAAGCAATCATCTAACTTTGAGATAAATGCTGCTTAAAGGTCTGACTTACTATTTGAAAGTACCTGAAAGACTTTCATACCATGATGTAACATTAGTTTTGAGATCACAAATCCACAAGGAGAGAATAAATATAAATCATGGCCCAAATTAATTAGATAAGCACAAGTTTTAGGTAAAACATGAGCAAACTGACCAAAAGATCCCATGGAGAACAAATAGCTGATGCCCCAGCAAGAGGAGTGTTTTCCCCTTCTTCTCCAAGGTACTTAACCTGAATCCAGTACCAGCAGTGTTTGAAAATTAAAACAGAACTTGAAATGTTAGATACTTTTAGGAATCAGATTGGTTCTCCACTACAGAAAGATCTGACATCAGCATAAAATTTTAGAGATAAACTGTGTAAATCTTAACACGTCATTGAAAATAGAGGCAGTAATCAGCTTATGTAAAAAATTTCCCAGCTATAAATACAGAAATTTAAGACATTCTAAGTTTAATGCAATGTATACAGGCAAGAGGTCCCTAACTTTAGAGTTTTGGTGAGTTTGGTGTAATGGTTAGAGGGACTAAATTTAAGATGGTATCAAAACAACTAAAGTCCCAATGACCTGGAATTTAAAGCGGGTTTTCTAAAACTATAATCCTCAATCCTCACCATAAAAAAAGGGTCAACCTGCTGAGGCGTTGTTAGAATTAATATAAAACTATAATCCTCAATCATCATCATAACATTTGAGTTTTGATCTAATGGTTAGAAGAACTGAAGAATTACAGTAAACAGGAAGGAACCAGCAGACAGACTGGCGGTCGACCGTCGCGGTCGCACCGCAACGGTGCACACAAACCTACTGGGATTCGGACGGTGAGGCGGTCGACCGACGTGGTCGATCGTGGAGACTGTTATGGATTTCTCTTCGGTTTTGGTGGCTAGTTCGGTCGACCGCATTCGCGCGTGACCGCGAGACCTGCGGGTCTGACCGCGCGAAGCGGTATAACAGGGTTCAGTTTTCAGACCCGCTTCGTTTTGGGTTTGTATAAATACCCTTTGGGTGTTTTTTAGGGTTAAGAGCAAGGACGAATTTGAGCAGATTGAGAGAGTTTTCTTTGGGCTTCTATTCTAGGAGCAATTGGAGAGATTGAGAGTTGATTGTTGAGGGTTTATGAGAGATTTGTAACCCTAGTTTGTTCCTCTTGATTTCTAATAGTGAAAACTCCCCCCTCCTTGCCCCGTGGACGTAGGCATCTCGCCGAACCACGTAAAAACTGGTGTTTGATTGTTTGTGCTATTGATTTTGGTTGGTTCTTTATCTTTCTCGGCAATTGGTTTGGTTTCTCGAGGCACACCAATTGGTATCAGAGCTCCGGGCAACGCTTGGGCTTTTTGGAGGTGTAGATCAGTTGGAAAGTTCATCTAGAGCTTCGATTGGTGATAAAGATCGGATCTTTGTGGTACAGTTTCTATCTTTTTTTCAAGTTGGATCTATTTCCTATTTGTTCCGCAATAGTTTTGGTGCTTTGAGATATATGGCTGAAAAAGATAAAAGTGGGGAGGATTCTTCTAGTGGGAAGGCCGTCCAAAGTTTGAATATACATTCTATGAAAATAGATGTGGAAAAGTTCAACGGCACAAATAATTTTGGACTCTGGAGATGCGAAGTCATGAATGCGCTAAATGCGCAAAATCTGGAAGATATGTTGGAGTTGGACGGGAAACCGGCTGACATTGATGAAAATGTTTGGAATAAAATGAATAGAACGGTGTGTGGTGTGATTAGGTCTTGCCTTACCCAAGATCTAAAATATGATGTGATGAATAAAACTTCGGCAAAGAAGATTTGGGAGGTCCTAAGGGGTAAATATTTGACGAAGAACGTCAAAAATTATTTGCATTTGAAGAGGAGGCTTTATCGCTTCCAATTGAAGAAGGGGACATCCATTAGTGATCACATGAACCACTACACGAAGCTACTTATAGATTTGATGAACGTAGATGTCATTGTTGAAGATGAGGATAAAGCATTGTTGTTATTGAGTTCCTTGCCCGACGAGGAATATGAGACATTCGTCCTTTCTCTTATTAATGGGAAGGCATCTCTTTCGTATAGTGAGGTCACCGCAGCCCTTATGAACTATCAACTTCGAAAAAAGGACAAGGAGACTTTCATTGAGCCGGTTGCGGGGGCATTGGTTGCAAGAGCTAGAAGTCCAAACCGTGGTAGGAGGTCATAGTCTAGAGGGGGCATCCTACAGTTGGTAGGAATCAGTGTGCCTTTTGTAGAGAGGATGGACATTGAAAAGCCGAATGCCCAAAATTACAAGCCGTGAAGAATAAGGGGAAAGCTGTTCAAGCTTCAGAGGTGAATGTTGCCAAGGCTAGTGGTGACGTTTCAGATTCAGATTCAGATTCTTCGGGCTATTCATGCCCAGCTCTTCTGTCAGTTGGTGTTGCCGACTCCACCGAATGGATGTTAGATTTAGGTGCTACTTACCACATATGTCCTAGGAGGGATTGATTCTCTATCTTTCAGGAGTTGGAAAAAGGGGATGCTGTTCTTATGGGTAATGATCACAGATGCCCTATTGGTGATATTAATACCATTTGTATTCAGACAAGTGACGGGATGGTTCGGGAGTTGGTTGATGTAAGGTTTGTTCCTCAACTGAGGAAGAACATCATTTCACTTGGGGTATTGGAGGCAGCAGGCTATAGGGTGATCTTGACGGATTCTCGCTTGAAGGTCACATCGGGGTCCATGATTATGATGAAGGGCGTCAGGAGGAGTAACTTGTATTATCTGCTCGGGAGCACGGTGATTAATAGAACGCTGACGACTTCTTTGGCTAGACTGTGGTATTGTTTGGTGCTGGGATATATTATTGGTTATGCCGTGCATAGATTGTTGAGGAGTGCTATGACCTGTGGCTGTAGATTGAAGTCTTGTGAGCACATTGGGATGAGCGAGGAGACCGAGGTGGAGTTCAGCACTTCTATCCACCGATAGAGGGGTCTTATTGGAGGTGTTCAGTCAGGCATTGGGGGGCCTTCCATGTATGCATCAGTGGAAGATAATCGTTATTTTGTTTCCTATGTTGGGGATTATACTAGGTATATTTGGTTTACAACCAAGTCCCGTTGGTATAAAGCCCTAGTAGTCCGCAACAGTTGGAGGAGGTGTATGGACAGAAAGGTTACCAGTCGTACTTGTTCTAGTAAGGATCCTTTCTTGTATTGGTGCCGAGCTCATGGTAGTTGGAGACACTTCAGAGGAGAGGAGACAATGGGGCGACGTAATGAGATGACGGATTTAGTGGGCCGTTCTTTTCTGGAGGAGGATCGGCATTGGTTGTCGAGCAGTGGATTTGATATTCAGGATTTGACATTGGACCATCTTATGAGGTTGCCGACTGCTGCTTGTAGAGTTGTTAGATCTGATGGAGCTGCTTCAGTTTTTGGTCGGCGTCGGATATTTGGCTACCCAGCACTTGGTCACATCGTTGATGTGAGATTGGATCCGATTATGCATTTGGGATTCAGAGGCTCTTTTGGCTATCAATTGGGAGCTTTTGAATTTGGTCTAAGCAGGTTTGTCACTTTGGACTCTCGGTAGGTGGAGAGTATTGATCAGGTCAGTGGGATATCGCAGCAGGTGAAGGGTGATGCTACTCCATAATGGGTGGAGCTTACTCCACATACTCCAGGTCATTCTACATTAGTTGGGATTCCAGCTGAGGTGACACAGCGTGGGAGTCATTTGTCTATGGGTGTAGATGATGAGGTGATTGATTTTGATGTAGCTGGTGGATATGTTTTGGATACGGCCATTGTTTCATCTCAGGTGGAGATGTTGAACTGTTTTCAGATTGGGGTCATTGATGATGCTATCAGCCGCAGATTGGATTGAGGGTCTTTAGAGGCCATTGGGTGAACTACGTGAAGGCTTGATTCCTTGGACAAGAGGATACGTAGGCAGTCTTTATGATGCAGCCGTTTTGGTGAGCGACATCGACATTTGGGGTGAGTGTTTGCACTCCCATTTGGGTCTTAGCAAATGAGGCATTTGGTGTAGTCGGTGTAGGCTCAGTTAATTGGTGAGTAGACACAGTTGTTTTGGGGTTGAGTGTTCGCACTCCCGTTTGGGTCTCGATGTGTTGTAGATGGGGTCTGTTGTCATGAGTCCGTTGAAGGCTGTTCTGGGATTGAGGGCGGTCGACCGCGATGGATCGCGATCGACCCCCACGGTCGACCGCCGCATCGGTTTCGGGTCTGGTTCTGTTTCCAGACCCGTTTCGTTTGGGATTTGTATAAATACCTAGAGGGTGTTTCTAGGGTTTTAGAGCAGGAGATTTGAGCTGTTGAAAGAGGTTTTCTTTGGGCTTCTATTCTAGGAGCAATTGGAGAGATTGAGAGTTGATTGTTGAGGTTTTGGTGAGAGATTGTAACCCTAGTTTGTTCCTCTTGATTTCTAATAGTGAAAACTCCCCCCCTCCTTGCCCCGTGGACGTAGGCATCTCGCCGAACCACGTAAAAACTGGTGTTTGATTGTTTGTGCTATTGATTTTGGTTGGTTCTTTATCTTTCTCGGCAATTGGTTTGGTTTCTCGAGGCACAACCAGAACTAAATTAATAAATTTAAGAGTTGTCTATATGACAATATGAGCACCTAACAGGAAGACTAAATTGGTCTTGGATAATTTACTGACAACCCTACGCTAATCAAACCTGCTAACAGTAAAAATTGCTAGGTGTCCCCTAAATGCAACGCCAGGCCAAATGCATCCTGTATCACTAGATCTCTTTGTCTAAAGGACATAATACTTAAATTAACAACCATCACCAAAACCTTTTGTATAATATTAAAATTATGAAATGAAAGGCCTGCCAATCTAGAGTTCAGACTATTCTGCATCAAACTGAAAACAGAAAAAGAGAAAATTGGTTTGATGTGTACCAACACGTTTGCTCCGATGCTTGTCCCGATGGCAAAAAGAGGAGACTTGGGGTACTCTTGATGAAGATAGTTAAAAACTTCACGCACATCATTTGTCCATCCGGCGTTATAAAACCAATCAGACTGGCCAAGATGATAAGGAAAATCTTAAAGATTACATACTATTTTAAAAATGAATATATTACACTACTTACTACTCATTCAAATTTTTCAAAAAATTCAAACTTCAACACAAAAGCCAGTCACCCCGGCTAGAATGGTGGTTAACAGTGTGACTTAAAGATGCAATTATAAAGATGATTAGAAGTGTGTACCATATGACAATGCAATTAAACTAAGTTCTCATTTTGCTGTTTAGGCTTTTACTATGCCTCATTGATGAATACATTTGTCTGACAGCAATTTTATCACCTTTACTCTTCTTCTTGATTCTAAGAGAGTCTAGCAGAACTCTAATGGATGCTCCTCCACTGATCGAGTCTAAACTTCACAATATATAGTGTAGTATTTGCGCTAGTGCAGCTGAAATACTCAATTTTGTTGAAAGTACTGTCTACTCTTAACAGTTTCTTGAACCAGATCACCAAAAGAGAGGGTACACGCCAGGTTGCATGTAATCATCTTATTTTGGCCAAGGACATGATTCGAAATAAAATATGCTCCATATCTGACCCATTTTGAATAGAATGAGGATGAGTATGACTTCCTTTCTCTAACTAAAAAGAAATAATCTGATGTAAATATTCTCCAAAGACACAATTTATTGTTTTATCTCTACAATAAATTTGATCCAAGTGACTAGATCTCGTCTCAAAACATTAGCTCACAAAATGAAGCAAACAAAAGTCTTCTCCCATATTTACATATGAACCAAGTGTCACAATTGTAGAAAATTCCATTAAGTTGTCTTCCATGAGTGAATTAGACATGCAGGTAACTTTAAACCACAAATGAACATTATCATCACTTAAAGTAAAATTAACTTACAGTTATTGAGACGCCACCCAGACCCCGATGGTTACAAACAACAACGTTCCAACCCCGGTTTGCGATACTATGAACTAGATGCTTCATGTACTGCATTGTCCATCAGGTGGAAAAGAATAAGCAACCACGAATGTAATCTTACAAAACTTTATCCTATCCACAAACACTATTTGGTAAAGGACACTTCACTAAACAAATAGCAACCCTTTTTTTATACAGAATAAAAAAGCACTTGATAATGAACTAAATTATCAGCTGCTAAACATGTTCATATACAAGGGTGGAGTCTTTGATATGACGTTTTTGTACATTTTATTTGTAAGAAGTTCAGAAAATACACCACTACTACAATGGGATAGTCACTCCAGAACTAAAAGATATATGACTATCGCATATGAAAACTGACGCTTTGTTTTCTATTAATCATAAATTACCTTTGAGGTAAACACCTAAGTGTTAGGAATCTTGACCCCAAGATTAGTTTATTTTGATGATAACAAATATTATATGTTGTGTGTATTATGTGCTAACATTTGTTTTGCAATATCAGAGCTATATCAACAATTATATTCAAAGAGATACTCAAGACATAGATGAGTTCAAGGCAAAATGAAGCAAAGAAGAAGATATACTTTATTGTCAAAATGTAATTTTATATTTTCTTTGCATAGAAATTTGTACAAGCCTTGATCACTCACACACATGCACACACATAGTGTTAGAACACACTAACACATGCTTAGTATGTTGGTTAACAATAGAAATCCCCTATGTTAGTCATTAGAGTTTATAGATATTGAGTGAGTCTTAAAACATTTTATTTATACCCCTTATCAATTAGAATCTGGAAAACTTAAAAGATTAAAGTTGTAGGTCTCTTCAAGAGCTTTCCAACAAATCTTAAATCACCTCATTCCGATATCGGATGAGAAAGTTACAGTCAAAATACTAAAAAGAATATTCCAGAATCTGTGAGTTTACAGTGTAGTCGACTACTATGCCTTGTAGTCGACTACTAAGTAATTTTCTGACTTCATAGAGTCTGTTTAGACTCAGTGTAGTCGACTATTATGACTTGTAGTCGACTACAGATGCAGTTTTTTTAGATTTTAGGTTTTGAATAAGTGACTGTTTATAGCCGTTTTGTGTACGTTTTTAGGGGTTGAAAACTTGTCTTTTCAAGGGCTATAAATAGGTTATAAGTTCAGAAATTTGTACAACTAATTCATACACATAAGATCAAACATTTGTGCATATTCACTCTCTAGTTTTCCAGATTTTCATGCTAAGTATTTAGAAAAAGAGAATTTCTGATATTGCCTTGGTTTCAATCATTCTTAGAGATTGTATAGGCAATATTAAGAGAGTTAAAAGAATCCTAAGCTACTGCTGCACTTCACTACATATTCAAGGCTTATAGGATCAATTGTGTTCTTGCTTCAAAAAGGATTTCTCTCGGGTTTGAGAGGGTTGCTCTCTTGGTTTAGAGATTGGGTGGCAATTGGCATGGTCTTGTCAATTGGGTTTGTAATTTGCATGGTCTTACAAATTGGTCAGGTTTGTTTTTGATTTTGTAAGGTTTCAAAATTATAGTGGAAACTCTCAAGCAGAATTTGCTTGGGGACTGGATGTACACCAGGGAGGTGGAACCAGTATACATACTTGTGTTTGTGATGTTCATTTTCTGAGATTGTCATTCTTTATTTGCAATTTATAATCTACTTTGCAAACTCACCCTCTAGTGTTTAAGTGTAAAGCTTCCGCAGATTTTTATAAGAGCGCATTCTATTCTTAAGGGTTACGATCCTATACTTGGTATACATAAACAAAATCAAACCCTACACTAAGTGCTCACAATACTGTTTCATCAAGATAGAAAGGAAGACATGACACTGATCTCAGCTGGATGAACTTCCCTACTCTTCTACAGCATCAATCTACTAATTAAAAGAAAATAGAAGCGGGGGAAGATAAATATAAAAGTAATAACTTACTGAAGCAGAAGAATCACTGGTAAGTCCAGGAATCGCAATTACAAGGGGTGTTGAATCATCTTTAGAAATTACCCCGCCAGAATCATAAGAGCCACCTGCAGCTGCAAAGTGTACAAAAGCACAAGCAATAAGAAACTATCTGCAATCACCATAAAACAGAATGCAAATAATGCAGCTATGGTTGCTTCTCTTTTTTAATGTAGCAACAAAAATCGCAAACTAAACATAAAGAACTGATGCAATTTGGCATAGTTATCTACTTCAGCTTGATATCTAGAGGAACTACATCTTTATCTCATGCCATTACGAAACTTGTGTTTGAAGTTTACCATCAGAAGCGAGCAACCAGTCCAAAGCAATAGTTCCCCCATCATGCAAAGTGTATAACTGCCTGAGTTTGCAACAGATAACTCCGTATGAATAGAAAATCCAGCATATCGAAATACATTCGTAAGTAATCAAAGAATATCATTACCCATACGTGAGACATGCATTTTCATTCAGTTTTAAACAATCATTTATTGGTAGAGTGTGGAAAAACAAGAAATCGTTGGCCCAAAATATAAGGTCATGGAAATGGCTCCCAAGCACTGGGAATAAAAAGAAGGTTGGAATTTTAATCCTGCAGCAGTTGTTTTGTCTTTCATACGAGGTGAATATCCTAGCTTTAAAAAGATGTAGGATGAAAACTTAACAACTTTTATAGCTTCACTAAAAGTGGCAGGTTCCATATAAAAGGAGTAAAGCAGCTTTGATACGATTAATAATCATATCCTGATTGTCATTGAAGTACACAGATGATAAAGTATAAAGTACAAATAACCTGGTCAAAAAAATTGGGATATTTGATAGAAGAATCCCTAATTGGTGATTGAAATTTTAAAAGTAGGTACACTGCTTGGGCTAAAATTTAAAGATGCTTTGCTCTAGATATTGCCCCAGCAAATGGGTCCCAAAGCCTCCCATTGCAAAAAAGTTGAGGCCATTTGGTAGCTTGCAACTCGATGGTTGCAACTTGCAACTACAATTGTATGCAGTCAGGTCAATTTTTTTTCCCAATTGAAAGTGTTTTGTTGCAACTTGCAAATCACTAGTTCCAGCTGCAACATGTTAGAATATAAAAATATAACCATCAATCCTCTTCATAAGTTTTAGAGTTTTGGTATAATGATTAGAATGACTTTAATATGATCCCAGAGCAACCATGTTAAAATCACAACGGCCAAGAATTCAAAGCTGATTTTCTAAATACTAGGTTTCAGCCAATGAAAAAGATGCTCAACTTGCAAGCATGTTAGAATATAAAATTTTAGAATATAAAAATATAACCATCAATCCTCACCATAACTTGTAATGTTTAGAAGAACTTTAACACAACCGCGGTTGCAATGTGTGGGTTCCATAAAAAATGACAAGTCACACAAATATTGACTACAAGTCACATTAGCAAAACTGTTGTAACCCCTCTTAAGTTGCAACTACTGCGGTTAAAACCAACCCCCATATAAAAAATTAAAAACTCCTAGAAACATATAAAAATTCAAAGAACTTTTCACAAAAACATGAAACATTTTTTTAAAAATTTTAAAAAATATAGAAATTGTACAACAAATCCAAAAATAAAAAAAATAAAAAACTTTCAAAATTTTAAAAATTCAAAAGATGTTCCAATTTTTATCATACATTTTTTTTTACAAACAGTAACTTAAAAATACAGAAAATGTAACGTTTCAAAATGATTTCAAAACCCTATAACAACACTTACTAACTATACCTTCTGTAGCAAAGGGAGGGAGCCCTCCCAAAATAGTTCAAGAACGCTGTCTGCAAATGAGGGCTCGCAAGCCACTGCGTCGGCAAATACCTTCACGAACCATAAAATCACCAATCATATCTTAAAATTAGTCCCCCAAATTATTGAAATTTCTATTAGGACCCCCAGGCCCCAGCCGTCGTAAAATTTTCCCTCAAAAACTTACGAGGATCAGGGGATCTAATAGCAATTTCAGTAATGTAGGGGACCAATAACGAAAAAAACCACCAAAAAAAAAAACTAATCAAGGTCCAAACTTTACCTCCCGTGAAGAATCCGACACTTGGAGACGACACCCTCGTAGATTTCGGACTTCGGATCAAATGCGAGCTCCACCCGATCTCCCCTAAATCCTCGGGCAGCGTCTCTAACAAAATGAACCTCGAGGAAGTTGTAGACGAAAATTAGGGCAAGGATCAGCAGAGCTAAAACGTACTGGTACGTCTCGATCAGCGAGAGGGCTCTGAGGAGGAGAACGGGGAGCGTGAGATCGGCGTCGGCGATCGCGCACGCCATTGATGAAGACCGAGAGAAGCTCGGAAGAAACCTAGGGTTTATGGACGAAGATGGTGTTGATGTCGTGATTGAGATTTTATAAAGAAAGCGAGAGGATTCGTCACTGCAGGTCAGAGCAGGAATT